CCTTGCCTTAAATATGTAATTAGACCATTAGCATATCAACCAGGATGTTCAAAGAATCCATGCATTTCACTATAATATAATCATTACAGCCCACCCTAAAACAAGAACCCCTGACCCTGGGGCCATAAAATTCACAACTTTGGTAGAAGCACTCTTGCTCATCATAACTATGTACTTAGTTAGTTTATTTAATACCCAGGAGCAGAGGAGAAGATTTTCAAAGAATTCATGTATTTTCACTATATAATCAATAGAGCCCCGCCCTAACACCAGAACCCCTGACCCTGGGGCCATAAAATTCACAATTTTGGTAGAGGCACTCTTGCTCATCATAACTATGTACTTAGTTGGTTTATTTAATACCCAGGAGCAGAGAAGAAGATTTTCAAAGAAATAATGCATTTTCACTACCTACTTATTTAGCCCCGCCCTAGCACTAGAACCCCTGACCCCAGGGCCAAGAATTTCACAATTTTGGTAGAGGACTCATTGCTGATTACAATCATGCAAACAGTTTGACTGCTTGATGTCCAGGAGTAAAGAAGAAGATTTTTAAATATTGCATTAATTTTAGTGGTTTTGGCCCCACCCCTCAGGCCCCAGGGGGGCAGGGATCATGAAATTTACAATTTTTGTTCCCCTTCACCCATAGATGCTTTGTGCCAAATTTGGTTGAAATTGGTTCAGTGGTTGCAGAGAAGAAGCTGAAAATGTTCAAATGTTAACGCACGACGCACGACGGACGACGGACGACGGACGACGACGGACAAAAACAGATAGCAATAGGTCACCTGAGTTTACTCAGGTGACCTAAAAATGTCACTAGACTAAAAGTCTCAATGAAAGTCAGCATTTCAAATCTTCCTTAAGTACATATAGTGCATTGACCTTGATTATAAATCTGTTTATTTAGGGGAGGAAGGGGGAGGGCTGGACAATTTTGTTGAGACAGATATTTTTTTTTCATGACAGGCAAGGACAGATTATTTATTTTCAAGATTTTCAAGGACAAATTATTTATTTTCTTCTTTGTCTTATGGTACCTTGATACCAACATACCATTATTACTAAGGTCTTTTGTTTCAGACAAGACCTTAAAGTGATTCTACTGTTTCTTTTTATTTTTCCCCCTTTTGCCATTTCTTCTTTCTTTCTTTCTTTTTAACTATTTCTCAAAGATGAGTGGACGGATTCTCAGGAAATTTTCAGGGAATATAGAGAGTTAAAATATCCTTCCAATGCAGTCTTAATTTTTCAAAATTCACTTCCGGTCGTCAGAAATGTCCGATTTTCGCTTTTTAAAAAAAGTTTTGTCCGAGTCATATATATATATATATAAGAAATGAAGACACCAAACTTATATGAGTAATAGATTTTGATAAGTAGGCATCTTATTTGTAGTTTTGAAATATGTCAGTCCCACCAGAAACAAAAACGGCAACTTCCGGTTATAAGAGAAAACTACTAAATATGAGTATTTTTATTTCCCATAAATATTTTTTCATAGATAAAGTATTTGTTATGATTTTTGGATATGTTATTCAGACTGCAAATGTCTACAGTACCGTCAAAATTTGTTGTAAAGTTCACTTCCGGTCGCGTGAATTCCTGTCCTCAAAATCAGTTATTATAGCTAGATGTAGTATACGGTAAGAGATTAAGACATCAAACCTATTGTAATGGTTTATATTGATGAGTATGTAAAACGATTTGGGTTAAGATTGTCTGCTGTCACTTCCGGTCGTCACAGGATCAAAGAAATAAAAAATTTCAACTTTTCTTTTATTAAACTATTTTTGCATTACCTTATAGCATTTTATATGTAGTTTTGAAATATGTCCCGCCCACCGAAAACATAAAGGACTATTTCCAGTTATAAGAGAAAAAAACTACTTAATTTGAGTATTTTTCATTCATATAAATACTTTTTATAGATGAGATATTTGTAATGATTTTTGAGTATGTTATTCATACTGCACATGTCTAAAGTTATCGTCAATTATCTCTTTAAATTTCACTTCCTGTCGCGTGGTTTCCTGTCCTTAAAATAAAATTTTCATAGCAGGAAGTGATCAAATAAATAAAAAAAATCAATTTTTCTTTATGGATTCTTTTTAAGTAATACATTACATGTATAGCATTTTATTTGTAGTTTTGAAATATGTCAATCCTAATGGAAGAAGACTACAACTAACAACATCCGCTTATAAAAGAAAAACTCCATAAATTTAGTATCATACTATCCCATAAAAATATTTTCTAAAAAGATTATTTTAAATGATTTTATGACATGTTATTCAGACTGAAATGTCTAATCTCAAATATCTTTATAAAAATTACTTCCGGTCACGTGATTTCTTGTCCTCAAAATAATAAGTTAACATTACGAGATTTCTTAAACTGTAACAGATCAAGACACTAAACTTATATGAATAATAAACCATGGTAAAATGCGTCTGCTTTCACTTCTGTTCGTCACAGGAAGTGATAAAAAAATTGAAAATGATTTTTATATATGTTATTGAGACTATAATTTTATAAAGTAACGTCGAGAATCTTAGTAAGTTAGTCGTCCGGCCGTTCGTTTTCCCGTAATCATTTTAAATATTATATGCCATTTTAGCATTGATAAAAGCTCATTCATACGGATACATAGAGGAGGACAGAAGACCGTTTTTGTTGCTGTAGCAACAATAATTTCTAGTTGTTGTTATACTCCAAAAAAGGTAACATTTTTTAATTTTATTTTTAAAGATATGTTATGTTAATGAATAAGATATTAATATTAAAAGACTTATCATTTTGTAGTAATTTACCGGGAGCCCCGTGGGGATCCGGGTTAGAATAGGTCCTCAGTACCCCTTTGCTTGTCGTAAAAGGCAACTAAATGGGGCGGTCCTTCGGATAAGACCGTATTAACCGAGGCCCCGTGTCACAGCAGGTGTGGCACGATAAAGATCCCTCCCTGCTCAAAGGCCGTAAGTGCCGAGCATAGGCCTAAATTTGCAGCCCTTCGCCGGCAATGGTGACGTCTCCATATCAGTGAAATATTCTTGAGAGGGACGTTAAACAGTATACAATCAATCAATCAATCAACCGCTAGGTATAATAACAAGAAAAATTTTAGAGCATAAGAATTGGCTTTGATGAGTAGGATATGAAGGGGAATTATATAAAGCTATCAAAAACTGAAAAAAAATAATATAACAGTGTGTCTGTACCTTGTCTGTAATGAGATATTGGAATATGGTCAGAATGTTTTTAATCATTGACTTTTAATTTTTTTTAAATGCCTTATTTATAGAATATGCACCAACTCTTCGACCAATTGATGCATAGTACCCCTTCACAAGAGAAATTTTGCTGGTTAACTGTGACCTCTTAGTTTCGCACCTAAGCAATATTGATCCTTAGTAGTGCCTGACGCCGTTACGTCAGGCAATTAATTCGGTATTTTCGTGAATTTGCAATACCTGTGTTCGTCATAAACGCGTTTAACTATATTTGAAAACTGGATTATATAGCTATAACACTGGTTATAAATGCTAAATTTTCATTAAAATTTATGACATATTTTTACATATAATAAAATAAATTTCAAAATATAATTTTAGGACTAAAGATATATACACTGTAAATGCTTCAATAAAGAACCCTAAATTAGTTTAACGTAGAGTTTTTATAGTTTTTAAATTAAAATATAATGAAAGAAACACCAAAATGAATCACAAGTTTAATCAATTTTGATTCTCTAAAGGTCTCTTATCTTTGCAATGTTTAGCGGGAATATGTACGTTAGATACTGGTGAAGAGAAAGCATAATGCCTGTGGCCAGTGAACGCTGTTTTTCATCCCTTTTCAATTCACTTATTCACAGGTCCCTAACAGATCTCAATTGTTGAAACTACAAAAAAATGTTGAATGTTTGAGTTTCTCACTTCTAATCAAACTCCAAGGTAAATGTTTAAAAAGTGTCAAAATTGTTGTTATCAGAAGGATTGTCTTTTTACAAGAAATAAATTTGTGAAATATGAAATCTCTAGTCATTATTGAGCAAAGTGTTTGCCAATTTTGAAGTTTTTAAAGTAAAATGGGTCAAACTTTAAGGTTAAGATAAAAAAAAAATATTTATACCAATCGACAGGTCTAGGCACTATGAATACACATATATACACATGTGAAGTATGAAAGTCCTAGCACCAACTGTTCAAACATTATGGCAAGGTTTACATTTATTTCTAAAAGTGGTAAAATTCCTGTGTCAAAGTCAAGTGGTCAAACTACACAAAGGAAGATCCTGTCACAAGAAATACAACATTTAAATTTGAAAGCCATTGCCAAATTTAGTCAAATGTTATGGAAACTTTTAAAGATTTTGCTGTCAGATAAACATAAAAACAGATAGATATACCGGTAGACGGACATCCGATTATTTTTTTATTCCAGTAAATATCGATATCTTCACAAAAAGATAAATTGCTGCTCTTTGCAATCGATAATAGTACATTAAATACGTAAAATTTTAAGATGAACCAGTAAATTTTAAAAGGTCATTGCATGACATAATAAAACCAGTATAGACTGATTTTATTTGGAAATGTATTGTTTATAGTAAGGCAGCTGTAGGAATACAACTGCTTAAAATGTTTATGTACTTAAATTAAAAAAAAACCTCTTCTTTTTATACGAATTAGAATGTATTTTTGAGAATACGCATGTGAAAATGGTGAAAAAAAGTCAAACTCAATGGTCACAAAGTCAAATTTGGAGGAACCAAAAATTATCGCCATATCACAATATTGTAAAATTTAAGAGCCATAATCTCTATCACTCAAGTTATTGACAATGTTAAAGTTTTTGCGGACAAACGTATTAACAATGATAAAATAGACAGACGGACAGTACAAATATTTACTCCAGATCCTTGATTATGGGGACTTAAATCATTTTCAGACTTAATTTATGATATTTTTAGAATATTTTAAGAATATTAAACTTACAACGTTTACTGATCCTGTCAGTAATCCTTTTGTCGGACATGGTACAGTGTGTGATGATGTCCAGCTGTAGTTTGTCTATGAAGAGGTCGTACATCTTCCCCGGTTCGTCCGGTACATACAGACATCTCTCTCCCTCACGCCTCTCATACCACCAGGACCTACAGTATTCTGAGATCACATCACGTGACGCCGTGGTCAGGAAAAACTCCAGATCACTGTCCTCCACCAGACACTCCGTAACGAAGGCGTACATGACGTCATGTCTGATGTCGTCTGATTTAAATTTTAAAATGCTTCCCTGTTTATCAATAATTCCCCCCTGAATATCTGTAAAGTTTATAATGTCCCTTAAATGGACATCTGTGAAATACATCTCTTTAAGTTTTTCGATCAGTGTTCTGTGAGTCTGGTCAGTGACATCCAGAGAATAATCCTCCACCAGTAGAACACAGTAGAGAAGGCATCTGATAGAAGGTTGATAAGAGTGGTATTTACCTGAAAGTTGGCATATTTATTGAAAAATATAATACAAAAAGGTAATCTGATTAAAATAAGATCCCTGTTACGTGCTCCAAATTTCAGATATTCAATAACAAAGGTGTGATTTTAATCAGATTGACAAAAAGTGGATAACAAATAATAATAAGACCGCACATTAAATTAATATGTAATATTATATAACTTTGTGAAATCCGGTAATCTGATTGGTCAATACAAAGTACTTATTTTTTAATAACGATCGCTGAAAGCGAATAATGACTCGCACGAGCTGCCTCGTTTTCACTTTCGCCTTAGAAAAACATGGAAGTTCACAAGTTGTAGGTGAGGAAAATTTAAAACACATAGTGATAATAAAAAACAATTACTAGGATTTTTGTGAATATTTTTCGGGAATAATTTGCACATACCATTTCATGGTTGAGTTCGACCATTCAACTCAGCATAGCAGAGTTTTGACGCTGTTTACGCGATTACGGAGACTAAAGAAAATATAGACAAGCATACCATGTAAGATTATATCTATTCTTAGAAGACATAGGTATTTTTATTTTGTCAGTGCATTTCGTCTGCAAGTGAAAACGAGAGCGATTTTCAATCTGGGGGAGGGGGTACTCTGTGTTATTCGGAGATAGATATCTTGCGTCATTATTATGATATGGGACATTTATTGCCAAATCAATTTCCTCTGAGTAATATTCAATGAAACATTTACATTCAACTTATTTATGGTTAATACTATCTCTGTAAATAATAGGATTGCATACATTGCACTGATAAATTTGGGAAAATATTATTTATATAATATAATAAAGATGGACTCAATGCACGGTCAATATGCATTTATAATGACCCAGGAAGACAGATATTGACCTCAGATACATGTAGTATATCGACCTCGGGTATTAATATTATCTTAAATTACCAAAGCTATATGTATCTTGTGTATCATACTGTACTGTCTTAATATTTCAACAATATTGCTTTTGTAAAGGGATTTCTGATGTTAAACTCCTGTATAATCAGTTTGAATATTTATTGATACCAGACATAAACTATTCTAATTTGAATTCAAAATAAATGGTACTACGACGCTAATGACCTTTTTTAAATACTTAAGATTGAAGAATAGTTCTGACTTCTGAAGAAACACTCATCACACTGTTTTTAAAAATATTTTACAACCCTTACTACATAATTAATAATCAAAAAAGATATTCAGTGAAAATGGCGTATTGCATAGCGTTTGCCCTGCTGGTATATTTAAGGAATAACTGTCTTATTTTTCGAATTCATGAAGTGATCAATGGATTGGCTTGTGTGATAATTTGCATAAACGCCGAAGGAACCTTAAGGACATGGTAGTAAGAACCAGACTGGACAACCCATTACTTAACGGGGGCTTTAAAACTTGCTCTGACAGAAGATGTCTTCTTTGTAAGCACAGCACTGACACAGACAGTTTTAAAAGCCCTGTTACAGGCCGCAGCTACAAAATACTAGGGAATTTGTCCTGTCATACTGACAACTGCATTTATCTCATCAGTTGCAAAGTTTGCTCCAAACAGTATATTGGTGAAACAGGAGATCTCCGCAGGAGAGTCAATAACCACCGTTCGACCATTAGGACCAATAAACTCAATGAACCCGTTGGGGAACATTTCAACCTTGAGGGTCACAAATGGGAGGACATGACAGTAGTGGTGATTGACCATAACCCAAGATGGACAGATGCTCAGAGAAAAAGCAAAGAAAAGTTCTGGATGCACAGATTGAAGTCATTCCGCCCTAATGGTATTAACAAACTGAATGACCTCACCAGAATGAACGTAAACTAGACCCAATTCCTGATGATACTAAACAAGATTATTCTCCCAATTTAGTGTAAACTCTACAGTTAATTTGCGTCACCAACTCTCGAACAACTCTCATAACTATGTATTGCTTACACCTTTGTTAATTATTTTTTCCCGGTAATAAGTCCTTAAATATTTCAAAGTTTATAATTGATCATAATTCATATGTTTAAATATCCCTGCTATATTATTTTTCTTCGATTATTCTTTATTAAGTAAAGTTACGCCATTTTGAGAGAATGAAACAATGTACGATTTACTGATTGTCGTAATTAATTAGCATAATTAATTCGTTCAATTATGTAAATCGCACTTCACCCGAGTATACCCGATAGACCGGACGCATTTCATAGCGGTCCGGATTTCTTTCTTTATCAGTGTTCTTAAAAATTTCTAATTCATCATGTAATTAAGTATGTAAATATCTAGTGTTTAGTAGTTTAGTAGTAGTGTTAGTTGTTTTTGTTTCTCTTTTTCCTTTGTTCTTATGACTTTTTACCTTTTTTCTTTGTCCTGAGGAAGGGACAGGGCGTCCCGAAAATTTGACAATTTTTATTGTTCGTGTCGTTGGTCATTTTTAGTGCTTTATATAAATTTCCATCCGTGACCTTGTATCTACTTGGTAGATCCGACTTTTAAGATATACAGTGTTGTTGGTTTTTTAGAGCTTTATATATATATATATATATATATATATATATATATATATATATATATATATATATATATATATATATATATATATATATATATATATTTTATTTATTTATTTATTTCACTAAAAAACAAATAAATTAATAAATTAATAAGATAATACATTTATTTCCGTTCATTGAAAATATTGTTTTTTACTTAACAAGTTCGGAAGATAATTATACATGTAAAACATTTTGAATTGCATTCAGTTCAAGAATACATAACCCAATTGAAGTGTAAACAATCATGGGTAGACCAGCACATATGGCTGATCTGTATGCAAAAACAGTTAAAGGAAAGTTAAAGCCATCTCCCAACTCCTGAAAACATATTTGATAGAACAATTAACACACAGTATTAAAAGCTCGCGTGTACTGCAAGGTTAACCGTCATCTGGACAGTGCTGTACAAAGTTTAAATGTTCAGGTAAATCGTACGACTATGAATTTTCTGATATGCTTACAGAGCAAAGAAATCCATGTGGGCATTCGACTCGTTTTATTCCCCCGGATTCTTTTCAGTAAATCAATGGGTCTACGAACTTGTCTAACAACCCTCGAATTTTACGATAAATCTTAATCAACAGAAATGACTTTATATCAAGAATATTGCTTTTTATATCTGATTTATATCGAATTTTAGGTATTTGTTTGACAAAAATTTTCCGTTCCGTTCTATCAAAACCCCTAATTCTTTAGCTATTTTACTCTTGTTTTGTACAAGCTATTACATGTACACAAGTACATCATTTATTTATCATTTTACTTATTTAATAAGTGCAAGTGAGATCAAAAAATGGAAACCGTGAACATTCAGTAATTTTCTTTGTACACGTACTTGATTTTCTGTAAGCTTTGTTGTCGATGATGTAGATATCATTGTGTGGATGTAGACCTATACAGGATCTCACGATGTCAGATCTCGCTCCATACCAGTATCTCCAGAGCCACGTCACGTGATCTACACTGTTATGCGATGCTTTTCTGCATTGGATTCTCTCCCCTGTCTGTTTTAATTTCACTTGAAAATTCTTTCGCTCTTTTTCATTTCCCTTTACGATTCTCATAGGAACATTTACTAGAATAAGTATACAAGTAATGTAAAATATTACAAATGTATTTCTAAATACAACAGAGTGTTTAATTAAACATGTTTAAGTGGGCAGATGATAGTGAATGTAGAATATATTGTTTTGTAAATGTAGTGTATTAAACTTTAATTTAATTTTAATTTAAGAAATAATGATGCATCCTAATAAAAATGCTGGAAATCTTTTTTTTAGAAATTCCAAAGTCGTATTAATTCAATATTTTTTTCAAAATATTCAATGACCGAAAAAGGCATTTTAATCTCCATACAGAAGTACAAAATGCACCCACATTAAATAAAATTTGTTCTTAAAGAATAAATTAAAAGCAGGATATAGCTGTACTTCAATCATTTATAGCGAAGAAATTATCATGAAAGTAAAAATTAAGTATAAACATATGGTAAAATCATTGTTCTTTTTAACTGCTAAATCTTAGCTGCGTTATCAATGATCCGTGTATCCTTCAAAAACCTATTTAAAACTAATACTGTGATTATGCATAAACACATGGATGCCAGTCAGACCTTTGTTATACTCACAGATCTCAGACACTTTATTACAGATCTCCGTGTCCTCCATGATGACGTGAGTCAGTATGTTCAACTGTAGACGGCGAATCAGTAAGGGATCAGCGAAGCTTTCATCACTAATGAAACACTTCTCCCAAGATTTTTTTCTGTAGTGCCCTGATCTCAGGTATTTCTGAGCTATGATGAAACTGGATAATAGAAACAGGAGTATATGGCCTTTTCTACCATATATATGGCATGAACTTTTATGATCTGACACACGGTACATGATCTCATCCTGTGCGTCCTCGGTGAGGTGTTCCCTTGTTTGATCTGTCCAAAGGCAGTCACGTGACTTCAGTCTGTCCAGACTCTGCTGTGCTTTCTCATGTGTTACAAGATTCTTTTTATAGTATTTATCCTGTCGTATCTCATTAAGCATGTCCAACCACTCTTTTTCATTGAAGTCAGGAGGACCGGAGTCAGAACACAAAAAACAAAATAACAGGGACACCTCGTCATCAGTCAGTGTGGAGGAGTGATCTAGAAAAAAAATAAAAATAAACGTATTATTGTTAAAATTAATTCAAGGGATATTCTTTCTTTAATTACATGTATTATAGAAACCATCATGTTGTTGTTATATTCAGGGGCATCAGTCTAAATCTGAAAACTGGGAGATACGTGTACGTGATATAGATAGTGGTATACATGTTCATGTACATGTAAAATATAGAAC